ACATATCTCTGTTCTTGTTTAATGCAAGTCAGTTAATTAAACCACTAAGGAATATAGTGGCTCCCAACATTAATTAATTGTACTTTCATTATGGGTGTGGACGCATTAGTGTCTACATTGAATGCATTTATTCTCAAGCTATATTTTTATATAATATTCTTATATAAAAATATAAATATTAAATATTTAAAATATAAAATACAAATAGAAAATAATATAGATTTTTAATAAAAATAAAAGAGGGAAAGAAAGAAAATTCCTAGTCTTTCTGTTTCTTCTTTTGCAAGAGCATTAAATCATAGCATTTTTAACAGTCTCTCGTGTGTGTGTTTAAATTCCTGCCTATCTCCTGCACTGCACAGATATATAAGCCAGGTTGCAAATGGGTGCCCAGCTCGGGAGCCGTCACCGTGGCCCTCGTGCCACCTTCCCCTCGCAGCCACGAGGATGAGTGCGGGTTGAGGGTGGCCTGTCCTCGTCCTCGCCTATGTGGGACGGGGCCTGGACCCCCTTGTGCTAAAGTAGCTGCGGAAAATCAAAGAAAAAGCCTAGAATCCTCTTCACTGTGGGAACGAGGATCATTAACATGATCAGACAGAAAACTTGTAGGAGAGCAAGGTTAGATGAAGGGAGCAGTGGGAAGGGGGAAGAAGTTAGCTTTTGAGCTAGAAATGCTCCAGCGACTCCCTTTTCATTTTTTTCCTTCTTTCTACATATATCAAGGGCAGCAAGCCCAATACACAGTGCAACAAGAGGAACACATTTTATTGAATTTCTGCACGCAGAGGTATCTGTCAATCCAAGTTTAAATCACTTAGTGTTCACCACAGGCTGTGGAGGTCCCAAGTGACATCAAAATGTAGGTTTTCTGCACTGCGGATTAGCGTCTGCGTAGGGTTTCCATGGTCCAGAAGTGACGTGAAGCTTCACATAACCCACCCCAGCGGCCCGGCGTGTTCTCAGAAGGTCCCTTGGTCAGAGGGAGTTGAACAAAGGCTTATTTGAGCGTTGGCTGGAATCGGAGCGGCGCGGCGGGTCCTGGTGGCCCTACGTGAGCCCTACGTGGCTTTCCAGGCTGCTCATTCCCTTCTCCGTAATTGCAGAGAAGGGACCAGGGAGGTTTCTGCCGCAATTCCCCGGCCCCCGCAGGACTCCTCACTTCCTGTGCTAAGGTTTGCGCTTGGTGTTGTCTGAAAATAGTTCATCACGGCGAATAATAGTCGTAGCCACAAGAGATGCATAAGTAGACTTTGAAGTGAGCGAATCAATAGTATGGGCTTGTGTTTTTGTTTTGCTGTGCGATTTTCTCCTGCTGTCCCACGTCTCCGTAGAGTGCCTATCAGTAAGAATGCTGAAACTGCCTCCATCCCTGTTATGCAACCAGAACATGTGAGACAAATGGGTCTAGAGAAACCCTCGTTGGTGAAGAACAAGAAGGGTAGCATGAAGGAAGCTGTTCTTGGGGGAATGCTATAGCTCACACCCCAAAGTGAGCCCAAAGAAGACTATGGACAAAGCTTAGGCCTTGGGAATGGGGCTTGTTCCGTGGCACTTCCCTGTCTCTGACCTCCTGCTTTCTGTTGGCCGAGGTATAACAGAAAAAGGAGGAGTCCATGAGACATGGTTTAAAAGGTGATCCCGATGATCCCTCAAGCTTTAGGAAGTTCTCGAGGAATGCAGGCGTACTTGGCACGCAACGTGTCCTACTTGGCGTGAACTGTGTCCCGAAGTGCAACTTAGCACATGGAAGGAAAATATGATTCACAGGAATTTTAGGGACTAACGGTCCCTAAAAGTAGGACATAAGGCATGTTTATGTGTTATAAAATCATAATGGTATTAATTATAGTCTTCTCTTTTTGTTTAATAACAGGATCTTGTTGAATACAGCCTTGATGGAGAATAATGGTGTGAAAGCAGCTCACCTCTCCATTTGCAACTTTTTAAGTTGGCAAGAGAAATTCTTAATAAGCCACAAGGAAAATATTACAAAAAATATATATATATATTTTGCACTCCCCAACTGCCTACCCTTTACACCCTATGTTGGCAGCCTGGCAGTATATTGAATTTAACCCACATTTACCTGGAGCGAGCCTGTATTTTCAGGTGATCAGTGCACAACAGCAGCACCATGCAATAGTTCATTGAATAACTACCATGTGAGTGGAACTAGCTTTTTAAGTGATTTTTTTTTTCTTCCCAAGGATAAGAAAGGGAGAATCCTGATTCCACTGTAGCCAACTGGAAGGACAAACCCTTTAAAATAGGAGGGTAATGTCAGTTGTTATTTATTGTTGACACCGGCATCATAATTCTGCATAGTAAGGCAATGTTAATTCCAGGCTGTGGCCCTTGCAAAAATGATGTGCAAAGGGATTTCAGGGAATATTTAAATAAAGGACCTGGCACACTGGAGACTGGCAGCTCTGCATGTAGAGAACTTCATTTTATTTTATTTTTTTTCCAGATTTGCCTTTCATTTTTTCTCCAGTCTGTTTATTTCAGCAAAGCCTGATACAGGGACGGCGCGTTAGCATGCCTTAATATTGAACAATTTATGCTTGTTGTTAGTTATACATCATTTAGGGCTGTGATCATAAATTGTTCAATCACAAGGTTTAGTCAAAGCTAGCATTCTTCACTGATGTCTTTTCCCAAGGGTGTTGAAAATTCGATTGTTCAAAGTGCAAATATGGTTTAGCAATCCCTTCCAAGAACCATTTATCAGAAATCCTAAGGAGGTAATATATAAAAGTGGGCTAGGAAACCTGCACATTAAATGGGATTTACCAGCCAAAGCCTTTGGAACTGCTTTCCTGTGAATGACTGGAATGGAGCAGAACAAAGTCAATTACTGACTGTAATTAAGGAGTGGATGCATTTAAACTGTAGAGAGCAGTAGCAGTCTTCTTGAAACTGTCTAGTTGCTCTGAAGATTAGTCTGAAGAAAGAAAGGAAAGGACTTGAACTATATCTTACTGAAAGTCTATTTTAAATGAATTCTCTTCCCTCAGTGCTATGATCTGTTTTTACAGATTTGCTCATAAAACACTGATAATACATGATTATCAAAATAACGTGTTCAGACAAAGAAATTTTCAACATGTATTTTTGCTTTGGTCTCACTAGCAATGGAGTATCTCTTTTGCATATCATACAGCACACAAATGTTTATGCAGCGCTGAATACTCGTATTTTAATAAAGCCTGAATTTACTGAACGGAAGACTGAGCTATGTTGTGTCCTTCTTAAGCCTCCAAAATACAGTAAATCTAATTATATATGTTGCCCTTGCTTTGAAAATATTATTCCTTTTTACCATTTTAATAATGATTTGTTTATGCTGGAAGAGAGGCATTAGATTGAATTGTGCCCTATGTTTAGTCTAATTCATAACTGCATGGGTATATTAATAAATCGTGATATGACATATAATACATGCAGAACCCCAAAACCTTCTGTGTGATCCAGGCACGGGACTGGAGGTCATAGCTAGTTACCCAAAGTTGCTTTTTTTCTTTTTTTCTTTATTTTTTTCCTTTTTCCTTCTTTTTCTTATAAATGGCAAGCGTGCGAGGTTGCGGCGCTTAACGTAATGTCTGTGGAATTGAGGCCCATCCCAGGAGTTCAGAGCTTCCCAGGGATTCTCCCCATGGAGAACGGGGACCCAGCGGAGCGGCGGGTCCCCGTCCCACCGTGCGGGGCCGTTCCCACATCCCTGCAGCTCGCGGACAGGATGTCTCCCCTGGCACCGGACCCACAGGATTTTCCTTAATGACTTGGGAATGGCTCCTTACAGGCATTTCCTCAATAACGGGAGGGTTCTACAACAATTAATAAAACATTAAGCTGCTTTGTCTGTGCTCTTTTGCTTTTTTGTTCATTCTTTTAATTTTTTTTTTTTCTGGTAGCATTTCAGTTAAAAGGCTGATGTGGGGAAACGGGGTCAGCACGTTCTGTTGTTACTCTTATGCTTCAGTCAAAACTCTTGACATGGGTAGCTGTAGTGCGAGAGCAGCACTTGAACAACTTGCTTTGAATAAATAACCGTGCCAGCTCTTCACGCCTTTGCTCTGCTTTGCTCACCCCTTGCTCCGGCAGAACCCTTTGCCATCCAGGTCGTGGAGAAGACCTGAGAAGCTGTAGGTCTTGGTGGCCCCTTGAGGAGCAGCGTGATGGCCCGACGTGCTCCAAGCCCTCGCAAAGCTCTCGCTTCAGAGCTCACCATGACGTGGGCATGACGGCTCCTGGCTCTCACGAGCGCCGCGGCCGCGGTGCCCTCCGCTTGCCCATCTGCACGTGCCCATCGCTGCCCTTCTTGCCTCTTCTCACGCATCTGCCAGGGCTTCGCTCGAGGAGTCTCGGGGCTCTGCCCAGCTCCGGGCCGCCACAAAATGGTAATTTTGACCTGCTTTATGCAACGCGGGGAGGTTTGCCGTGGTGAAAAGCCACAGGAAAAGGAGTGATGTCTCATTATGCTCACGGCGCTTTACAGAAGTTGAGGCCAACGGGATATGCAGGCGTATTCCCACCAAATATTGTTAGGCAGTGAAACGGCAGCGTCAGGGGAATGGATATTCTTTTGATAAATATTTCCAGGGAGTAGGTCAAAAATGTAAATCAACTTCAATTCAGACAAACTAGGGATTTTTTTCCATGATAAATGGGCTCTTAATTACTTTGCTATCGCCATCTTCGATGGTAATTTTTAGTGTGAACAACAGTTATATTATTAATTTTACCAAAGCAATTGGAAGTGCACTCTGGAATCACAGGTATTACCTACCAGTTCTGGGGCAATGGAATCATGTATCTAACCGATAAGAATATCAGAATAGAAAGGGAAGCCTACAACAGCAGGAGGTTTGCAGTGAATCCTCACACCTCATGCCTTTCTTTTCAGAGTGCATTTCTTTTCAGATTTCCACATGAACTGCCTATGGCACCTCCGAGGCTTCCCCAAGCTTTTGTCACAATATCCTTATTTTTGGTGCTAGGATCTCAGGAAATGCTCTGTCCCGTGCGCTCTACTCACCTGTCCTTCCCCATGCCCTCCCCCAGATCACCACGCGCTCTGGCAATGAGTTCCTGCTGCAGTCGGATATCGACTTCCTCATATTGGATTGGTTCCACGCTATCAAAAATGCAATTGACAGATTGGTATGTATTTGTTTTGGCTGTTACCTTTATTAATTAAGATGTAGCAATTTAAACTTCATTTGCTCAGGCATCTCTACAGGTTTTAGACAGTCAGAAGCGAGCAGCTAGCTAGACGCTCCTTTATCTGGAGGATATATAAATATGCATGCAAATCTAAAAATGTCAGATAAACAAGGTTGTTCAACTAAAATGCCATTTGATTCCTGTCTTAAAACAGAATGCTGCATCTATTTTGCTGGAATAATAAGGACGTCGGTTTACTGAGGGTTGTAAAAGCACACAAGCACTTAATAACTAATGAATTTTTGCATTTTCTGTTTATGCAGCCTACAGTATATAATCTTCAATAGAACTATTAATACATTTGAGCCTTTTATGAATTTTTGTATTACTTATTCACAAGAATAACACTAGCAAATAATATTCCTTTGTAACTGATTGCTGTTATTCTCCCAGGAAGGCTGGGGGTTTTCTCCTAGAAGTAAGCAGAGCTGCCTTTTATTGAAACAGTTTTTAATTACCAAACCAGATTCAGCTGTAGCTTTTTCTTTCTTTTCTGCCACTCTCAGTACCAATTCCACATGTCTTCCTTCCATCTCTGCCTGATCCAAGAACATATTTCTATAGGGCACTGACTTCCCTTGTCAGAATCTGGTGAGAGAAAAATATCCCCATTTCTTGCATTTTTCAGAGATTTTGCTACGATGTAATTGCTAGAGCTGGTGGAGTGAGTCTCTACGGCAGCTCGGGAAGGGTTAATTGGAGCAGGGCTACTGTTTCCTTAAGGAGCTGCAAACATTATATTACCCTTAGGCTATAATCAGCCAAGGAAAGTTTGATCTGATGATGTATGTCTTCATATTGTGCATTTCATTGGATGCGGGTGGCTATTGATATCCGACTGAAGATTTCGGGTGGAGTTTTCCGTGGGGACTCAGGGCACTTTTATCTGCGTGCTGTTCAGCTCCACATCGAATACACTCAGATATTTTTTAGTGCAAGGCTGGAAAAGCCTGGCCTGGGCAGCTGGGAGGATCCGCAGCGGAGACGGCTCTTGGCCCCCAACCAGCCTTTAACATCTTAAGATATAATGAGAGCAGCAGCAGCTCCCAGGGCAGGTTGTCCCATCTGCAGTTGTGGTCTTGCACAGGACCAAATGCCATGGAATGACCTTGCAGAGATGTCCCCTGCTTGGAATGGGTGTGAGGGGAGCTTAGCAGGACGTTGGCAGGACGGCATCTTACCTGGTCTAGTGCCCCAGGAATATAGGCGAGACTGGCCAAAATAATAACTTCTTTTTTTTCTTTTGTGAAGAATTGAGACCATTAATGGTCCCTGATTGTTGCTTTATATGTCAGTGAATTAAAGCCGTAGAAATACTTCTTTCTTCCCTAAATTCACACTAACAGAATTCAAGCTCAAATCTGCAAGAATATTTGAAACAACTACATCTGAAAGAATATTTACTGTAAATATCTAAAGCAAGAAGGTGACTTAAAGAACCTTTCTGTCAGCAATCATTAAGAAATAGCCCATGAAATGAGGAAATCATTTCACTCTCTGAGTCCTGAAGAAGTAGGCCTTGTTTCCTAATATAAGTGGAAATTTATCCTGAAAAATCAGGATCAGGCTGTAAGGAGCATAAAAGATCTATCATAAGAGGAAAAAATTCTGCATTATGCTTTCCGTAAATTATATACTAACTGCATCACTTGCTGTCTGTATTGGCATTCTGTAATTTATTGTTTCATTCTTAGACATAAGAATTTATTGCAAACATATACATGTAAATATATATATTCTTTTTCCAGTCCAAAGAACAGAGCTGTACCTCGAGAAATTTGGAGCTCAAACTCAAAAGATCCTCCAGCATAGAACTGCTGAATAACTTAGATGCTGAATCCAAAGAACCAAAGCCTGAGCACAGAAAATCTTTAAGTAAGAGTTTTTTTTACTGATTTTCTCTTGTTTGTTTGCTTTTTAAATAAATTTGCCATTATATGGGTAAGATAATTTTTATTACATACGGAATGTGAGGAAGATCACTAAGAATTTTAAAGCTGAATGCTTTCTCTGCTGATATACATAACTTGCATTTAAGCAAAGACAGTTACTAGCTCCATACTTTCAAAGGGTGACATTCTCTCCTAAGCAAAATGAATTTGTTTAGGAGCAAAGACTTATTCAAGCCATTTATTTTAAAAAATAAGCAACATGAGTCCTATGCTAATGTTCTATTGCAGTGGCTTTGTTTCCATTCTAGTAAAATGCCTCAAATTGCTCGAGTAATTCTTTCTGTTATATATTTATACAGTGAATTACTTAATGATCTGGCATATCCTCTGGAGTGAACAACTTTTAAAGTTATGGAAGTCGAATTCCAAGCACCAAGGTTGACTTTTGTTAGTAAGAAGAGAAGAGAAAGGAATTTAAAACTAAATAGCGTTGCAATCTAGTCCTCTGAGACTTTTTTTGGCCAACTTGTGCAGAGATGCTCATGAGATTGTGGGTACAAGATGCAGGGGCTAGTGGTGACCCTGAATCACTCAGCATTTATTTCTGAACTTTCACACCCTCTCTTCTATCTTTTTTTTATTTCTTTGTTCAGCAAAAAAAAAACAGTTTTAGACCCTACCTATGGGTAGTGGAGTGCTATGCAAGAATTTGCCTTCGTACACATTATTCTAGGATCGAAGGCTTAGATCTTAAAGAAATAGTTGCATTCAAAAGACCCAACATAGCTATTTTTGATGATAATTATCCACATAATCACAAATGCCTGCACACATGTGTGCGCATGCGCACACACATGCACAGAGATGCATTAAATAGACAATTTTTGCAGACCAAGGCTTTTTGTTGTTGTTATTTCCCTCTTATCTTGGAGATTTTTTTAAAGTGTTTTCTGTCTGCAATAAAATATAAAGTAGCCTGGATGTAGCTTGTGAAAAATTGTCCCAATATCTTCATACTGCTGTTTCTCAGAGCAAGAAAAATCAGGCTGAGTGAACGGTAAGTTTGAGGGCCTGATTCTGTTCCTGTTGAGGTTAGTACCAAAATGCCCATTAGCTGTCTCATGACCCGGGGAATTTCTGTTTATTGATTTATTTTGACTTCTCAGATATTTTTAATTGATAATTTATCCGACAAAACTGAAAGAAGCAAACATGAACCATTTCATAGACTCAGTCTACATTTTTTCCCAAACCTTAGAGAATTGTGAATAACCTCTGTTTTGTTAAAGGCTATTTAAGCTATTAAAAAATGTGAAAATATCTGCTGTGGAATCTCACTGAATCGAAGCTTGTATTTAAATACTCTAGATTGCATTGCTTCTCAAATATGTATTCAGAACTTTTGGGGGCCCCTTGAGATCGAGTAATTATGTGGAATTAGAAAAATCATATTATTCACTTACTTATTAGTAGTCTAAGCACAAACTGTATTGTCAGTTTTCTGCCTTTGGCTTTCTGTGCCCTTAATGTTCACACAAGTATCGTAGCCAGAATTATCGGCAGCTAGAGCCAAAATTGCTTTAAAAAGGCATGAGAACTGGTAATGACACATTGTTAGCAGTTAACAGGTGGTCGTTTCATTGTCCAGTTTGACTGCAGAGCACAGAGAAGATATGTGCAATCTCTGCAAGTGTGTTTATAAAGTTATTACAAAGTTTAACAATTTTATAATTTTTGTAGTGCTCTTACAATGTTGACTGCTGCCAATGGCAAATGCAGACAAAGGAGATTTTTGAAAGTTGGCTTAACTCGCCGTCAGCTTAATGCAGAAAGGAGAAAGGCAAATGGGTGTTAGCAGGCCATCGCCGCCCCCTGATAAGCTTTAATGAAATATTCAGACAGTTCAGACTCATTTGTCCCTTCCTTCTGTACATTTTAAGGGCTGCAAAAATATTCCAGAATTTTGGATGAGATACTATTGTGCTTTTTTAGCAGCATGCATGCATAGAGGACAGGTATATGCCATCCAAAGTGTTCCAGTAATTTACTCTTTAATTTAAAACTGGGGAGACTGCCTCTAGAGACTAAACTGCAGGAATTTAGTTTCTGTGCTTAATCCTAATTGCCTTTGCTTAGATTACAAGGACAAATGGTAATCCTTAGTGGTGATTTCTTTGGAAATTGGGCTCAAACTGTCAGGCTCAATGGACAGAGTGCATCGAGCGTCCATCTTCTTGGTCATCTTTCAGTGACCTCTCATCTTCTTTGGACTTGACTCAGATTTTAGTTGAAGTTTTCGTGAGTTAAGAAAAAGCCAAGGATTTCTTTGGGAAACATTATCAGTAATGTCTAAAATATCTGTGATCCTCCTTTCAGATATGTGGGAAAAAGATTAGTCTTTATTTTATGGTGCCAACTATTTCAGAGATTTAATTTATGCAGCTGATGCTTAGTCAGAAAGAGCTTTTTTTTTTCGCTTTAGCAGACTCCTGCATTAGAGGATGAACACTTCTGTTGCAAGAAATGCGGCCCACAAAGCCGCTGTTTTTGATGGGAATAAATGTTGTCCCCAGATTTTGCAATTCCAAATAATTTCATTATCATTCAGGTCATAGTCTCTTTTTCCTAAGGTTGCCCCCAAAACCGGCTTAGCACCCGCTGCAGTTGTGCCTGTTGGTAGGAAGTCTGCAAGGCTTAGGCCAAACCGAGTGCCTGGGGTAGACTGAGCGTAGAGATGCTCATAGTGGAGAGGGGAGATCTGTCTTGCAAGGATTCCCATTCAGTGCTCCAAGAAAACAAGCCGTTATTGAGTACACGGTCTGTAGGAACCATTGGGATAGCAAAGTCTGCAGCCGATCTGCGCTCTCCGTTCAGCCGGGGCGGCCTTTTCTGCACGTGGTGACTTGGTGGTGGCCCTTCTTGGTGGTTCTCCAGGAACCCATGTGCTCAGCAGTGACCTCTGGTGGAAGAGCCTGGGCTGGAGGAGCTATCGGTTGTCAGAGGGGATCAATTCTCCCTCTCCTCCCCCTTTTCCAAAGGGCAACAACCGGCTCGGCGGTGGGAAGGGTGCCCTTTGGCTGCCCTGTCAGTCTGAGGGCGGCTGTTGTCAAAATGCACAGTCACGAGCCTGATGCTGCAATCCATTCCAAAAGCACTATATTTCCAACCTGTTCTCCATCATTCCCTTATGGCGTCACATTTACTCAGTTCATCACATTCTTATTAATATTTTAGGTTTCCTTGAAAGTGATGGAATTCTATTTTTATTACAAAAGCAACAAGAATAAATAGTAATTGTTGTCAGTTATTTCCTTATGTAGTGGGAACAGTAATCTGTTCCTCAGCCATAGGTTGCCAAAGCAAAATAATTACATATTTTAGACATTTAAAAAATCTGTGATATTAGATAAATGCAATTTGATCTCCTTGTTTTGCCATACAAAAGCTGGAACTGGCGGGATTGATAAGCTTGAATTGCATTATTTTTATTGTTTCTACTTGCATATTTTTCTCTTATCTGCAAGAACACTTTACTGGAAATCCAGTGGTTAGTCATGCAGCCATGCTATGGATCCTGTACAGTCTCTAAGTTTAAACCCAAGCCTTGGAAGCCACAAGTGGAGCACAAGGATTAAAAAATATGTGTATATATCAGAAAGAAGGGAAGTTCTCATGGGTTGCATAGTGTTATGTTATTCGTTATTACTTTAGTGTCTTAATAGCTGCGGTCGGGGATCGGGGCGTCATTGTCCTAGACACAATGGGAGCCGCAAGGAAGACAATTCGGGACCCGGGGGCTCCGTCTGAATAAGGACAAGTTGCAACAGGTGGAAAAAGCGGAGAAAAGAGGGGGTGGAAGGAAAAGTTGACAGCAAACCCGACATGTCATGCATATTAAACAGCAGGCTTGGGATTCCTTTCCACTCTTCATTAGGACCGGGGCGTTATCCCCGGCAGCCTGGCCGCGCTCCAACACAAATAATGGGATTTTGCTTACCTAGATTTCTCCTGCAGCTTCAAGTGGGAGCCCGGGGCCTTGTGAGCCCGCAGCGGCAACGCGGCGTAGCGCAGGGCCACGGGCTCGGGGTTCCTCAGTGGGTGTCTCACAGCTTCTATTTTAATAGTGGGGAAGAAACGAGAAAAGAAGGAACCTGTAGGTCATCGGTGTGATTTGCATTTAGAAAAATGTGCTGCAAAGGCAGCTGTGCTCTGAAATGTGCTTCGGTTTCTTACAAGATCAGATTTAAGTTAAGGATTCCCTCCCTTGTGTTTAAACGAGGAATAGATGCACTTTGAAACTGCCCAGAGTTGCTTATTTCTTCCTCTTACTTCCAAAGATCGAGTTTTGGAACTTGAAATGTGCGACGTAAATATTGCTAAATGGTCACTAAAACACCCCAAATCATCTTTGAATGCAGTTTGTTCGATAATTAGGACTGAACAATGTGGGGGAAAAAAACAAATCTGAGCATCCCAGTAGACATGAGCTAAGAACTGGCGACGTCCGTGAAGCCTTAACCCTTTGCGGCTTCCTGTGCATTGGCTCCTCGCTGGGCTGGAGCTTCTCCGGAGGCTCCGCTTGGGAGCTGGGAGTTTGTCCTCGCGCGTATCGAAGTTACGCTGCTATTTCTGTGCCTGCACGTCGTGTTGCTGAGGCTATTGTTTGCCCCTGGAACGAAGAGCCTGGTTACCAGGGGAGAAACACATATATTTACATGGCTTCAGCTGCATAATAACAGGAGGAAAAAAAAAAAAAAAAGCCAGAAACTTATTGAAGGCGTCATTTAGCCTGCCTAGAAAAAGGCCACCTAATTACAGGCAGTGCTCAGAGAGGAGTGTATGTGATTTTCTTCCTTTCTTTCTGAACAGATTAAGAGTGTGGTGGGTTGGGAGAGCAGATCCTGCGATTTCGTGAGACTTTGTACTAACTCCCTGTGTTTTCCTAAGGTCCAGGTTCTGCAGCCCGTAGTCACATGGAATAAC